AACATATAATCGTGCATCTTGATGTGCTAAACGGCTAAACACCATGTGTTTTGTTTTTGCACAGTTTATGTTTAAGCCAAACTCTCTTCCCACTGTATCAATGGCATTTAAAAGGCATTGTAATCCATTCATGTCATCACTTAAAATAACTGTATCGTCTGCATATCTGATTGTATTTATCAGAATTCCATTAACTTTCACGCTCCATTCCAAATTATGCAGCGCTTCTTTAAATATTCTATCTGAATATAAATTAAATAACAGTGGAATAGTATATAACCCTGTCTGACACCTCTTTGTAATTTACATATTTCTGTTGATTTTCTGTTTATGCAAGCTGTCGCTGTTTGACGCCAGTATAACTTTTCTATGAATCATATGTCTTGACTATCAACTCCTTTATCTTTTAATATTGTCTTTAATTTGTGATGCTGTACTCGATCAAAGGCCTTTTCATAGTCAATGAATACAGCAAAGACATCTTTCCTTTGATCTCGACATTTCTGCAGTAATACATTTAGTGCAAAGAGGCGTCCCGAGTTCCCAGTCCATTTCTGAAGCCAAATTGTGTTTCATCCTGGTCTTCTTCACATTTATCTCTGATTCTACTGTGGATAATGCGTAGAAATATTTTTTTTTATATTTTTTTATATTTTTTTTATATTTATATTTTTTTCAAAGGCCAGTCCTCTTAATTTCAGAAACTTGTCTTTCTCTTATTTTGTCCAGTAAAGTATCTAAACTAACATGTTGATTGTTTTCACGCATTCGATACAAAAGAAAACTTTTATAGCGAACTTCAAAAAACATTACATCTCACAGCATCTAGTGATATAACAGTGATCATGGGTGATTTCAATGCAAAAATTGGCGAAGGAAAATGCTACCCTAATATGGGCTACCATATGAACCTGCTGAACGGAACGACAGAGATCGCCTAATAGAATTTTGCCAGGAGCATAATGTTATAGCCGCAAATACATTTTTTAAATTACCTAAGCGACGTTTTTATATATGGAAATTGCCAGCTAACAAAGATAGAAAATCGTCAGAAATCAAATTGACTTTATCTTAATAAAACACAGATATCGAAACTCAATTCAGGCAGTAAAGGCATATGCAGGAGCAGACGTATCCTCTGAACACAGTCTTCTTATTGCTAAGTTTCAACTTCAACTAAAAAAGACGCAAAAAAGCCGCAACAACAATAAACTTAACATACAGAAACTAAAGTCAGAAGAAACTAAAGTCAGAAGAAACAAAAAAAATCAAAAAAACATCAACACAAATCTGGATAGAACCCCAAGAAATAATTGCAATGTAGAGCAGCAGTGGCAATTCTTCAAAACCTCTATATTGGAGTCAAGTAAGAAACTACTTACAATAACCAAATGTAAGCAAAAAGAGTGGATAACCGAGGAAATTCTAGAGTTGATAAATGAAGGGAGAAATAACAAAGCCATCAATACGATCCGCTATAAACAGCTTCAAAACTAAATAAGAAAAATTAGGGAGGCTAAAGAAAGCTTCTCTGAAAATTGTAAAGAAATAGAAGAACTGCAAAACAGATATTCGAACTTTAATCTATATAAAAAAGTCAAAGAACTAGCCGGAGTAGGAAATAGAAGAACATCATATATATTGCTCTACAAAAATGGGAATATTATATTGGAGACAAAATAAAAATTACGACCGAGGAATTATTTCATGACCAGAGAGAGAAGGCATGTAGATAGCCAAACAGGAGATTTAGGCCCAGAGATAACCAAATCAGAGGTTAGTCAGGCTTTAAACTCAACCAATCTACTGTAGAAATAGTGACGCACTACAACTACTTCGTCACCATAATAAATGAAGAATGGACCAACAACCAAGAGATTAGAGGCATCGCAAAAGCTAGATCCACCTTCAATCGGATGGGAGCCTTCTTCAAGAGTCACAACCTCTCTCTTGATACAAAAGTAAGACTGCTGCATGCTACGTCTTCTCTGTCCTTTTTTATGGTGTTGAATCGTGGACCTTGAACGAAGATACGAACGTGTGCAAAAAAACTGAAGCATTTGAGATGTGGCTATATCGGAAAATAATTACAGTCACAAATTAGGAGGTCCTCGGAAGAATGAATAAGAACCGAGAGGTACTGACCACCATTCAATCTCGAAAGTTACAATTCTTCGGACATATTATGCGAAATGAATCCAGATAGGCTCTCCTTCAAGCCATCCTGCAAGGAAAAATATTTGGAAAGCGAGGTCCAGGAAGAAGTGCAGCTTTTCAGCGCTGCTGCAGAAAAGATAAAGATTGCCATGATGATCGCCAACATTCGTAATGGATAGGCACATCAAGTTGAAGAAAACAAAATTTAGGAAACGATTAGCAAGGACCTTGTGGAAATAAAATTTTAGGCCTAAAGAAATACGTAAAAAAAGAGTGAATAAAAATAAAGCAAATAGGGCTGGATTAGAATCCTCAAGGCGGACAGAAAGTGGGCAGACCTAAAAAAAACTTGGAAAATGGCAGTACTGGACGAACAAAAGAACTTTGAAAATTTTGACTTAAACTCAAAGCACTAGAAGCCTTATGTTTCTCTTACGAATATCGAGCCTATGTAATATGTTAAGTATGCTGTAATTTATACGAAGACTTCAATTAAATAAAATTAATAAGCATTGTTCTCTCCAGCATCGTTCTCCTTCCACTTTAACCACTCTTATGACGTAGCAATTTTATTCTAATGAACTTTCCATGTGAGACAAACATATTCAATTTGTTTTTTTCTTTAATAAACAAATCAGCGGCCAACTATATGAATGTCATGATAAATTAATAAAATATTAAATAAGGTAAAATTAAATCCTCCTCATTATGATTATTATGAACGAAGAATCTTGAAGGTGAATAAATAAATAAATAAAATATTATGGTGAATGTAACATGGTGTGTCTAATAATCAGAGGATTTTAATATTCCACTTGTTGTTCTATCGAACGGAACCAAATTACTGAAACGCGTGCTAATCAGTGGCGGAGAGAAACAAATTGTTTACTGATAATATCTTTTTAACCCAATTATTTACATATTTGTTACTCCTCTAATATTAACATCACTACTATCATATGAATTAATTTAAACTTATTGTCATGGTTCTAATATGTTGTAGATTGTAGATAAAAAAAATGGATGCCTTTATAGACATTTCACAATCTCAAAGATCTTTCGCGATTTTGTTGTTAGCTTGCTGGTTCCCTGGTACATTATTTTCCCAGAAGAGGCTAGGGAATGGTTCCCAGTTTCTGCTAGATCTAGCTCGTGTTACAAAATTAGCAATCAAAACCAGGCATAAATAACCTCTCGACCACAGCTCTGAGAGAGCCCTTTTAGTTTACTTTGGTTGACTCTTTGACTCTGTTTCGTTATGCCTGCTCATGCAAAAAATGTCATGTCAGTCGTAAAATTAGTTATCTCAGATATAATGTAATCAATTTCGCTGTCGCTCGTTCCATCTCTTAATGTAATGATTTACAGCATACACTATTACCTAGTACATTAAATTGTCCTCGATATACAGTGGCAACTATTTGGTTGTCTGGTAAGTACCTCCTTCACCAATTAGGGTGCTGTGATCTAAAAAAAACATTAGTTCTAGAAAATCTGATCTTTTTTAGGTATAGATGTAAAATTTTAGCGCAATTCAGCCATTAGTGCATTTTTGACAGCTGTATAAAGTTGACGTGTTTGTAAAAATGACGCAAATGGAGAAAAATACTTTTAGAATTCTAATTAAACATTATTACTTGAGAAATAAATCGCGGAAAGAAACAATATTATAGGACTAATGCTTCTTAATACTAAACTGTCAAATTTTGGTTCCGTGAATTTCGTAGTCGATGTACATATACAAGACGCATCTTAATATTGTTCTGAAGCTATTTTCTTGTGGCATTGTAAATTAATTACTATTTATAACTGGGAATAAGCCACAATTAAAGATAAACAAACGTATTTTTATCTTTAATTGTGGCTTATTCCCAGTTATAAATAGTAATTAAGACGCATCTTAACGGAAGTTTTGAATTTTGAAAAAATTATCCTGCCGTGTTGTGCCGCTTTTGCTAATCATTGACTACAAACATGAACGTGTGATCACTTCTAAGCAGCATTTGGTTCTTATGAAACGCCATCCGCCAGCCATTTGACGTCGATTGGTAACCGTTGCTGAGCCTGGATCCACTAATAAACATTTCAAAACGGTCAAGAGTGGCTTATTTAGTCGGAAAGGTTATGGCCACTGTATTTTGGGATTGAAAACGCATACTTTTTATTGACTATTTTGAAACAGATAAAACTATTAATAGACAATATTATTGTGCATTATTAGACAAATAAATTAAAGCAGGAACTCAGTGGAAAACTGCCTCATATGCAGAAAAAAATGTATCTTCAATGTATTGCACCGGCTCATATAGAGTTACGACAATAGCAAAACTTCATGAATTGTATAGTTGGAAAATGTTGGAATTGCTATATTAAGCTAAAAGCATACCATATCAAATAGAGTAAAAGAATTTTCTGAAAAAAAAACGTGTTTTTCATTTTAAAGAAGGTTACTTATCAGACCAAGCTAGGATTTCCTTATTAACTTTTCCAAACGAACTTTTCTGGTTAACGTTTCGTTGACCGTAAGAAGTGTGATAACCAGAACGATTTCATATTAACATCGTCGTTTTTTGTCAAATTATATTAAGCTACTTTTTAGTATACAATATTTTATACATACATTTTGAAACAGCAACTTTTTACTAACTGAACCATAGCTCACCTAAAACAAAAGAGAACATATTTTAATATATAAAATAATTCAAATATACAGTGTTGTGCGAATTAATGTGAAAAAACAAAATTAATTTGTAAATATGATTTATTTATGCCAAATGTAAATTTAGGTACACTTATATAAGATTGTTTCATTAATTAGTATTTAGCATGTCCCCCTTTTACTTTTATGACTTCCTGGAGTCTTCTAGGCATGGAATTCACAAGTTTCTTTCAATTGTTTCAATCAGTCAATCAATCAATCAATATTCTTTATTTCATCTGACTTTTACAAGTATTGAAATGCGTCAAAATACAATCTAAAAAACTATAGGTACATAGGTAGTAAAACAAAGTAAAAACTATAAGCACAATCATAAAACATAAAATATACACAAAAACATACAAATTGTTAAAAAGATGCCTGCAAGTATTCCTCTAACGAATAGAAAGTGTTTGCCAGAAGTAATTTCCTAACTGATCTCTTAAATACATAAATATTTAACTCTTTAACATAATTAGGTAATTTATTATACAAACTAACATATGTTGGGTAAGGACCCTTGCCCACAACAGTCAAGTGACGAGCAGGGGTCACCAAATCATTTCTGTAACGAAAATTGTAGCCACTCATTAAGGAAACATCATTTCTGCAAATAAAATTACATCTATGTGACTTTACATATACAACACAACTGAAAATATACAGCGAAATTACAGTTAAAATATTTAATTGTTTAAAAATTGGTCTACAGGAATCCAAGCGCCTTCTAAACGTCATGGTACGAATAATTTTTTTTGAAGAACAAGCACCTCATTAATACCCGAGCAATTTCCCCAACAAACTAAGCAATATTTGTTTGTGATTTCTTTATCTCTAAACCACACCTTAATCACTGCTTCCACGATTTTTGTTTTTGTCGTACAGTCAAATTTTTACAGTTTAACCTTACATATTGCCCAAAAATTTTCGATAGGATTAAGGTCAGGTGAATTCCCAGACCAATCAAGAAGGGTAATATTATTATCTTTGAAGTATTTCATTATAACCTTCGATACTTGGCACGGAGCTGAATCTTGTTGAAAAATTTCAGTCCCTACGACCTGTACTTTGTCAAGCTCTATAGCTAAGCGTTGCTCTAGCATGACTTTGTACTTTTTACTATTCATCATATCTTCAATAGGAATAAGAGTGCCAGTTCCTGAGTATGAAAAACAGTCCTAGAACATTTTTTTGGTGGGATGTTCAACTGTTTGGTTAATATGGCTAGCTGAAAGTGACTCATTGGCTGCCTTTCGTACGAATTTTGATCGCTGATCCTGCACTAGAAAGTGGGTTTCATCATAAAATAACACTTTTCTCCAATCTTCTGCATTCCAATGAGCGTATTTTTTTGCTTAATTTAGTCTTTTTTTCATCATAGGCGCTGTCAGAAGTTGTTTCTTTTGCGGTCTCACGGCTCTTCTTTTTCTTCTAAGAGACGTCTGCGTACCATTGAGTCGTAAATTTTTATTCCGGCCTTGGAGGTCATAACTTTTTTTTTGATGAAGTTTGCTATCGCGCAAAAGAAAGGCTTCATTTCGAGAAATAGTCTTCCGTTTTCTTCCACATTTTCCTTTCCGCTGCACTTCAACTGACCCTGTTTCCTTTTTTGTTTAATTATTTTGTTTACTGCACCCAAACTTACATAACACTCCTTTGCAATGTCCCTTTGCAGTGTATACTCACTAAGTGTTATGATCCTTTCTCTTTTCCTAGGAGTAATATCCATATTAAAAAATTAAACCTGATTGCACAGTTAAATCAATGAAAATAACATTAACTTGCACATAACCTGAGATACAACAAAATATAATAATGATATAAAACACAAAGCACGTGTTTTAAACAATATACTAATAAGGTTTTGAGGTTATGTTATTTTTTTGATAAAACAGTTGACAGAATAGGCACAACAGGTGTGCCAACTTATGAAAACTGAATTTCGATCTATGTTCACATTAATTCGCACAATACTGTAGGTTCAGTTTTCCAGTCCATTGTTTTTATTCATTCGGTATATTTATTATCTGTTGAAAGTCGTCCCATTTTAGATTTTGAGCTTTAACGTATATACTACTAAATTCTGCAGTAATAAAACGCATCCTGACACACAAGCTGATTACACTAACATAACTTCATTTATATTTGAAAATAATACTACTTCAGATCATTATCCAATCGCAGTTTCCATTCCTAATCTAACCAAAACCAAAGAAAACAAAATAATAATAAAGAAGTACATCAACTACAAAAATCTAAAAAACAATTTGAAGCAGGAAAAGTGGTTGGATATTTACAATAAAACAAATAAAAATGAAGCGGTAAAACTTTTCATTGACAAAATTTTAAATTTAATAAACAAAAATACAATTATTTTAAAAGAAAATGATCTAAAAACCACTTTTAAAAAAGATTGGATGACAGGGGGACTTTTAAAGTCTGTACAGGAAAAACACAGATTGTATGATCAGCTAATCCAAGATCCCTCAGATAACTTAATTAAGACACTTAGTTAAAACTGCAAAAAGAAATTATACAAAACAACAAATTGAAAAAAATAAGACCTCTTCTTCATCACTTTGAAATGTAATTAATTCATTGTGTGGAAAAATAAAAGAAAATACAAAAATTGAATCGGTTAAAACCAAAACAGGAGAAAAAATAACCGACAGAAAAGAAATTGCAAATGAATTTAATACACATTACAGTACATTGGGACAAAGGTATGCACAAAAAATACCCATTTGTAATGACCAGATTGAGGACATAGATAGGATAGAAAGCAGCATGTACTTGTTGACCAAAAAGAAGTGATAAATGCAATACAATCGTTAAAACACAAAAAATCTCCTGGCTGGGATGGGATCAAGACAGAAACCATCAAACAAATTACGGAATAAATTATTACTCCTTTAACTTTTCTCATTAATGCATGTTTTCAGGATGGTTGTTTTCCAGAATGTCTGAAAATATGCAAAATCAAACCTCTGTTTAAAAAAGGAAATAAAGAAGACGTGATTAATTACAGACCAGTATCTTTGTTGTCTGTTTTTTTCCAAAATATTTGAAAAATTTAAAAAAATAGATTAGTGAGTTTTTTGGATAGGTTTAGTATAATATCGGATTGTCAATACGGTTTTAGAGAAAGAAAATCTACACAAGATGCCATGTGTAAACTAACATCACAAATATCAGAAGCTTTTGAGTCTAATAAACGTAGTTTATGCATATTTGTCGATCTCTCAGAGGCGTTTGACATGATATCTCACGGGATCTTGTTAGAGAAACTTGAGAAGTATGGTCTGAGAGGACGCGTTTTGACATTACTAAAAAGTTACTTAACAGACAGAAAACAATTTGTAGAAATTGATGGTGTCGAAAGTGATCCTGAAGTAATTAATTATGGCGTACCGCAAGGGACCGTTTTAGGCCCTCTACCCTTTACACTCTATGTTAATGACATGCTTAAACTAAAAACTGATGGAAACATAATAAGCTTTGCTGATGACACCGCAATTTTTTATAAGGCCGATAATTGAGAAGATCTTAAAACTATAGTTGAACAAGACTTCAATGTTATAAAAACATGGTTGCAAATAAACAAACTCACAATAAATTACGAAAAAACTAAATATATACCTTTTGCAATATATAAAAATTCTTTGCCAACTTTTAATTCATTAAAAATAAATAAAAAACAACAAATATTTAAAGCAAAATACATAAAATATTTAGGAGTTTTAATTGACAGGCACCTTAAATCGGACTTACAAATAAAAAATATTTTAAGAAAAATACGAGGACTGTTACCAAAATTCCGCTATTTAAAAGAGTTTTTGGATGTTGAACAGCTTAAAATGCTTTACCTATCTTTAGTACAATCTCATCTTGTATATGGGATTTTAGGATAGGGTGGCGTAGCTGATTGCCATCTGGTGACCCTTCAAAATACTCAGAAATGGTTTCTTAAACTAATATATGGAAAACGAAAACATATCCCTCAGACCAACTTTTTCATGAAACTCAGGTTCTTGATGTTCGGCAATTGTACTGCTTAGAGCTACTTAAAAATATTCATAAAGATAAAATACCTCTTAAAATAAAAGTGTCAAATTATGAAACAAGAAGAAAATTGAATGTTGAATGTCTTCACACTTCAAAAACAATCACGCAACGGTCAATTAAATATTTTGCTCCAAGAATATACAATCAATTGCCCATAAATTTTAAAAATATCAAAAATTTTTATTTGTATAAAAAATTAGTTAATGCTTGGGTAAAAGAAAAAAGGGAGTTGTGTAACAATTGAATAAATTTAAATTAAACTAGATAAAAAAAAACGAAACAAATTAGATTAGATTAGAAACTGTAAAAATGAAATAATAATTTGTAAAAAAAAACATTACCTATTAATATTAAAACCTGTTAATATTAGACAGATTAAGTCAACAAGCATGTTAATGCTTTAAAAACTTTTTTTTACGTTTATTTTATTGTAAGTAAACTGAAATTGTAAATTAATGTAATACTTATTGATTTGAATAAACGTATATTATTATTATCCAAAGCCACCGCGTAGATTCGGGGCATCAAATATAAAATTGTATATTAGACCCACCGAACAATAAAAACTACCATAATCTCTTTGGCAATTCCGCAAAAACGTGCACCCGAAGTTCATGATGAAAAACGCCCCGTAGAAAGTAATGGTCGATCATGATCGAGAATCACTCATAAAAAAGTGTAAAAGTAATAATCTTCAGCGTGGTGAATAACAAAAGGTAAAAAGAAGATGAGTGTAGAAGGAATGTTCATTAGCACTTACCTGTTAAGAGTTTTATGCTTTGTTTGACCTTACAGGCCACATACCAGAAGGATTTCAACGGTGCATCGGACGAGAAACTTAATGTACTTGGAATACATTTGTTAATATTTGTTGAAAGATATACAAGAACAAACAGAATATAATTAGAAATGATGTGTGGAAGTACAGGGTGGCTTTTGAGATTACAAGAAATAAATCAAGTCCAAATTTTATAAATCTATAAAACAAAATATAAATCCGGATTCTAAAAAAATATAACCAAGAAATTTAAAAGTAGACAGCCACAAATGTTAGCTAAAATTACCATCAACAAAAATTAAACTTTTATTTTATTCAAAATCAAAACAATAAATAAATTCAACGAAATTTATATAAAAAGATAAATATAAATACCATATCCAAAACCGTTTTTCAGACTTCTAGACCATAGCTTGTATTTACTTTAAAAGTGTCGTCCTTTTAGTTTAAGGGTACAGGGTTCGTGTGTTCATTTTCATTTAGGTAGTATGTAGCTGTAGCTTGGTTCATAGTTTCTTTTATTAAGTTAATATATCTGATGTCTATTCTACAATTTTGCATTGCGTTTATTACCGCCGTGTGTTCTATGGTATCGAAATCTTTTTCGTAGTCTACAAATGCTAGGAAAACTGGAAACTTGTATTCGTTACATTTTTCTATTAATATTTTTTTGGTTAACAGGTGATCGGAAGTTGAATAGCCTTTTCTAAAACCTGCCTGTTCATATGGTTGGTATTCGTCTAATTTCCTTGTTAGTCGAGTAGTTATGACTTTGGTGAGTATTTTAAACAGGTGTAACAGTAGGCTGATGGGTCTGTAGTTTTCCAATATTCGACTATCTCCTTTCTTGTGTAATAAGATTACTTTAGAGTTGTTCCAGCTCTTAGGGACTTTGCCCTGATGTAAACAACTGTCCACAAGCTTAGTTACAATTGCAATTAGTTCCTTACCCCCTTCTAATATCATATCTGTGGTAATACTATCTTCTCCTGCAGATTTATTTCTCTTCATGTTTTCCAATGCTGTAGTTACCTCTGAAATTGTTACTTTTGGCATTATTTCTAATCCAACATTTTTTATTAATTTCCGTGCTGGTCTCATTTCATCATCTTGTTGATGTGTTCTGTAAAGTTCTGTGTAAAATTCTTCTATTCGTGTCAGTATGTTTTCTCTAGTTGTGATTTCATTTTCGTCTTTTCTCATTAATATCATCTGACGTCGTCCTAGTGTCGGTCTGAGGTATTTCATACTCTTATTTTTTTCAATAGTTGTTCTTATTAATTTTTCGTTTTCTTTTCTTTTTTGTTGTCTGATTCCTTTTCTAATCTGCCTATTAAGTTCTCT